TCATATTTGTTAACTTTGCATGTAAAAAATAATTTTTTTTATGAAAATCAAAAAAAAAAAAAAAAATGTTTGGGATATTTTTCGTCACATTGGGCATTACAGCAGTACTCAATTAATTAAAAATACGTATTACGTAACTAGATATGGTAATAAATAATTTTTAAATATTTTTTCCAATGCACAGTAAAAGAAAAAAAATGACGAAAATTGATTTGGCATTCAAAATTCATAAACGAATTCATATCGTGAATGTGCTTTGTAACATAGATTTAATCTTAATATTTTTTTATTGTACGCCGTTCATTTCGAAAACGTTCTGGTGGTTACGTTTCGTTATTATATTACGTTATGACTTAAGGTTTTGAAATTTGACACTCGTAGGGGAAAAAAAATAACTAACTGAAAATAACGATGGCATCGCGTAAACACAGAAGTTTTCGCGAAAAACTACAGTTCATTAATATATTATATTATATTCGTATTGTTTAATATTATTACTATTATTGTGATTATTATTAACAAATACTACTGCGGTTTTTTGCACGCGTAGATATCTTGTTAAGGATACGCGGTACTAGGGTACCATCTATGTCGTAGGCGGTGTAACTCGATTAGTACTATACAGTATCGAAGTCGGTGCAACGTCGCTGGTCGCGCCGTCATTGCGCAGGTAAAGACGTACATTCAACGGAACGCGTCCATGGGCCCCTAATACGTTGTACTATTAAAAGCCATTGGAAACCTGGACTGTCGATAGCGTCAATCAAATCGATCGTGGAAATAAATAACAAATATTGTTAAATGACCATCATTTACAAAAACGGGCGTAAATTTGACATTTTTAAACGGGACGTGGCGGAAAAGGGCGTGAATTGGGAGGGATTTGTCCGAGTTGTGAGACGGGGAGACTGGACAAATTCGCGACCGTGGTTCTCCGGGAGAGCGCGGCCCCGAACGGTTTTCACCGAACGGAATAGAATTCGATTGTTTGGAAACGTTATCGATATGGTTAGACGGGATTTACTGAACGGCCGTCGCGCGAAAAATCTGTTCACATTTTCCGTCGCATTCCGATGCGTTTTGAAATTATAAGCCAATTCAATTTAAAACTCTTCACGACTACATGTATAAATTACTTATTAATTAATAAATAATGTGTAAATTACTTGAACTACTCATTGAGCACATTATTTGAATTAATTTTCGATTCTAATTTCGGATTGACTGCAGTGCCGAAATGGTCGGTGGTCCATATTCTTGTAATCATATCCAGTTAACATGCTCATTTCGATAAAAATTTTACATACTTTCACACGGATTTATTGCCTATAGTACTGACCCTGTAGGTGCCGCCAGGAATTCTGTCAGGGGGTTGCATCATGCATAGTATATACGCTTACTTCTAAATAATGCTTAAATTATTTAACTTAAATACGTAAGAATAAGCAAGTATTTTCGTTTTTTTTTCAACGGCTAAAAAGTAATACAGGCTACAAGAAAATCCGATAATAATAATTATATTCTCTATCCTACATTTTTCAACTGTATTCTTTTTTTTTTTTTTTTAGAAATCCCTTTGAAACACTCCCTTTGGACCCCTCTAGTGAAGCCCATGATTGAATCAGTTACGATTTCCAAGGTTTTTTTTGCTACCTATATGGAGGATGGAAACATGGAATAGAACTAACTAAACAATTTTAAACGTTTAACATTTCTTTGGCCAATCGAATAAAACTAAATCATCGGTACGGTGTTTTATACAAATTTTTATTTTTTTTTTTTACATTACTATTTACGTGTTCGACTGCGAATCGAGTACGGTGTTTATTTTTAAGGCGCACGCTTAGTACTCAGGACTTGGGATTCGGTGGGATCAATGTCAGTTGTGTTTTGTTGTTATTTCTATGACAATCGTATTACAATTATATAGACCGGCAGTAATTGTTCGTTCGACAAAATATCGCTGCCAGTGACGAGCCGCGCGACGACGACAACGGGTTTACCGGCGAGCTGATCTCGTCCGAGGAGTACGACGGACCAGTCGAAGACCGGAACCCTCCGGGGTTCGGTTTCCGGACCGTGCGCTAATAGGATATTGAACGATGGTTTTTGTATGCGCGCGGCCGAGGGACTGTACAAAATCAGCTGGTGGATGGGACAGGGGGTGAGTGCGGGGATGATCGAAGGGAGGGAAGTTGAAAAAGTGCTTCAGTGCGCCCAAAACGAACGCGTGCGCCGTGCACCCGGTGCCCGTCGTGCCCCGGCGTTCTGAACACCCCTGAGGATAGCGGCTCGGTTTCAGTTGGCGTCCATAAAGGGACGGCCTCCGAGTGACGCGATCGCGCGCGGCATGGATGCGTATCGAATCGCAGCGCGGAACGAAAGTTTTTGTGCCGGGGTTTTTCACAATGCGAATTATGCACGGTTGCAGCACCTGTTCACAGGCCGCCCCATTACTCATTGATCGCACGGACACACGCACGATGCTGCCGGTTAGGTTTTGATTGAAATCGTCCGTCGTCATTGTTGATTCGAAGGGTTACGCAACGACCAGACATTTTTGAGACCGCGAAACCCGTTTTTGCTCCGAAGTACCACACGGTTGAAACGCAACAGTAATTTAAAGAAACCTAAAAGAAAACACGTACTCCATGTCATATTGACCGCTGTTAATGTAAGAAAGAAAAAAAACACGTGAATAAACGTATAACTAATTAAAAACGAAATCGAAAAAAAGTTAAACATAGAACGATTCTACAAAATCGTTGCGTTCGTGCTCAAATGCACTATAAATTATACGTTTGCAAGACGACTGTTCACTCGCATTGCAATACGAACATTTTAAATTGATAGTAGCAACGAATATTTATCCAGAGGCGTATTTGAGAGATGTGATGGGGGTTTTCTTCTTATCAATTGATTTACTTATGTAGGTATTTGCTATACATTAAATGTACTGATACTAATGTAATGATGTAATGATATTTTTTTATCCCTTATTTTCAGTCTCTTCCTGAAATTATAAATTTTTCTTGAATTGTTTTACTAACTTTTCCAAATGATAATATTTTTAAATATTTTCTACAATGTATAGCTTCATAGCCCCATATTATTCTCCCAGGTTATCGCCGTTATTATCTAAATGTTTCAAAAATGATATTACGTAAATTTAAAATAAAGGATAAGTATGTTTATTGCAACAAATATTGTTTTAACTGCCATGTAGCATTTAGGTTTTTTTTTGGGAGGGGATTAAAAATATAGTAACTACTCTTTTTAGTAGAATTTTTCCACCCCCTCCCATATAAATTTGTGTCTTATACGCCATTGATATGATGTAAAGTAAATGCTTGATTACTTGTACCGGGACTGTTTTCTACATCGTGTGATACGTATTCATACGCATAATTATACGTTATACGTTTTTATGCTATTATGTTTTCGTTATAACTTATAACTTATTAGTAATAAGAAACTTTGTTTTGTAGCAAATATGAGTTTGTGAGCTTCGTGTAAAATTCTGGATAGTAAAGGGTGTATTAATAAATGCAGAAGTCCTTTGCACTGGAAAAAGTATGATGTATGTATTTAAATAATAAGTGTAAGAATGAAGAATACGAATAATATAGTCAATATTAATCACTGAGAATAATATCGGTTTCATAAACCAATAACGGTAATTACTTTAATTTTGAAATGGTAGTGATTTATTATGAATAATGCAAAATTATTAACCGTAGATACATGTAGTATTTATGAATTTATAGTGAACAATTTACCGTGTACATAAGTTTTAAACATAATAAAATCAACATATGCATTCAATACAATTCTTTAAAGACGTTACAAAAATATTCATATTGAAGTACAGAAGTACCTGATGCGGGTCTTCTTTTGCAAACACTCGTCTATCTAGTGATTATGACTTTCGGAAGATCGTGACTTACTAGTGTTTTAGATCTACTCGTACTCGTATCTGTACGGGACGTTAACCACAATTATGATTTTGCAAAACAAAAAAAAAAAAAAAAGAGAGCAGCGAGGGTTGTGATTCAGTGGTTTAGTGTTTGATTCGTTTCACTATATGCTGACCGCGACATACGAGTCAGCCGGTATTGTATTATTATTGTTATTATTATTATTATTATTGTTATTCGCTACGGTAACCCGTCTAATTCGAAGAACGATTTTAGTACAGTATTCAATAACACAATGATTCATAAATATAATAATTGGCCAATAGGTGCCAACATTTATTTTTTACGGGATTGAAGAGTAATGCTTTGAACACGTTTAAGATTTTCAAATCGTTTTTAGAAAACGATGTATTATTGTATCCATTAAACGTTATCATTCATACGTTTTCTTATTTTTTAAAGGCAGTAAATGTATGTAAATATTAAATGTTTTCGATTTCGTATAACATATTCTTTATTTTTGAAAAATTGGCCACAATAATTCAACTTTGTTTGAGCTGTAGTTCAGTTCAGCCTATTAATCGAATAAAACTGAAATGAAACAGATAAATTTATTTTTATTTTAAAGTATAATTTATACTTATTTACCAAATAATATATTTTAATTTTATTATACAATCGCATATTTGCATACCCAAAAACAGATAATACACAGTGTGTGACGTAAAACTAACATTTTTTAAGAATTATGATTAATTTGTCAGTGTCAACTACGAGGGAGTATTAAAAATAATATTAATATTTGTCGGCTGTTACGGCGTTAATTTAGATGTATTAGATATGGATTTTCCATTATGTATTTTGCGAGTTAACAGCTGCTTTTTGGAACCCCAACAAAAACGAAAAACAAGACAAGAAAAATAACCCTCTTTCCAAATTTATGGATTTACGTAAACCACACAATACTCGTTTTTAATCGTGATTTAATAAGCGGACGTCCAGAATACCCCCCAGGATATATGAAAAATCACTATTTTCTTCATTGAAATATTTTTAATATTTATTTTTGAAAATACATAGACATTTGATACAACTCAAAAAATGTACAACACATTTCTTAATCATATAATATATTTAGGCGTAATATTAGATTCTACCGGATAAAACAAACATTTTTGATTGAAGCTCGACTCGGTGTTCATCTAGAGTAGTTCGTTTCTAAATCTATAAACCACGAATATAATCTTCAAAATTATTTCTGATGTTTTTGTCCACTTCATTATGTTCTAAATAGTTTTGCCGGTATATCAAAGTTCGTAGTATAATATGCTATTCAGGTATCAAGTCTATTAACCAATATTATTTGAAGCAGACGAAAAATATTTCTTAATGTATTGCATTCTAATGTAAATTTTCAATGTGAATTTTGGTTAGAACTTGTAATGTCAATAAAAATAATTTCAAGATTATCAAAAATATAGTTATATTTTTATGATGCACATTTTTGAAAAGATATTTGGTTTGAATAACTTGTGTGAATTTGATTTTGAAATTCACGAATAAAATCATTCTTTTTGATAGTAGTGTGATATTTTTCCATCTATTTGTAGCCGATCGATCGTATTTTTAAAAAATATAAATTAATACAAAATTGGTTAATTTTGTTCGGATCGACGTAACCATCGATTTTTGTCAAAAGCTATTCTGAGCTTAATGAAATGGACCAAACTAATATTGAATCTATAGTTCTTTTCTTTTTAAGATCACTTCTTACTGTACAGGTTTCTTAGGTATCGGCTGTCCGATTATCTTTTTCGATTTTTTGATCGGATTGTAATGTTACCGTTTCAATTTCTTCGAAAAGTTCTTTGGGTTTTGGTATATTTTGCACAGTTGTGATTTCATTGAATGACTCCAATCGACGTTTTGCAAGATCGTAAATTATACCTATTTAAGTATATAAGTAAAACGTATGAGTTAAATTCGTAGTAATTTGTTTATAAATTATTAGTAAATATGAGTAATGCAATAATCTAGTAATGAATACTAATTGAAAATACATTGGTTTTTATTTTATTACTTCTGTTATTGGCTAATAATTTTACCGTTATTATATTATACAATAGGTATAAATATAATATAATCATAATACAATTTTTACAATAAATATTAACTTATTGTAATATATCTTTAAAAATGATAATATTATTTTATTATTGTTTAAATTATTATTATAACTGAAATGAAACGATATTATAATACAATTTTTAATTTTACTTTTCGCAGTCATAGAAAGTTGACCAGGGGACTATGGTCAACTAACTGGTTAATCATAGTTAATATCGTTGATATAATTCTATTGGCATGATCAGCAAACTGGAATTATTCAAGGTTACCGTTAAAATTTTAAATACAAGAAAATCGCAAATTCGCTTTTATTCGTATTAAAATAATTATTTACGAACGAGAGGAAAAAAATTACTTCAAATATACTTCAAAAACATATTAAATTAAACTAAATTAGACGATTGATTGATTTATTTATTAAAAAGTAAAATTATTTACTGTGTTGGTAATAAATTAAAAACATATATTTATTATGAACTAAAGCATATTATTATAAAATTTGAAGATTACTTTTAAGCATTTCATCGCTCTCGATGTCTTCCGTTTTATTTTCTTGAAGTTCTTCCACCAGCCAGGGCACAAATTCAGGGTCTGTTAATGAATATTTGATAATTATGTGACATGACCATTAGAAAAAAGGTGCTATAAATTTACTTTTTATTATATTAGCGGTGGTATTTGTGATAAACCCATTTCGATTTAGGTCGTTGAGTATCGTGGGAAGTAAATCAGTCACACGGTCTGAAGTCGATTTATAAATATAAGTATTTTCGGTTTTTACGCCTTCATCAAATAATTGAGCGTGGTCGGTCTGCAATAAAAATGTATTCGATCATATTAATTGTGCTTTTTGAATTATGCGTTAAGCTGAATAACGCGCATAATCTAATTTTGAAACATTATTAAGTATATAAGTTTTAATTTTTATTTAATTGTTCCATTTTTTTTTTGTGATGACAAGAAAAGTGATTCTACGTTAAAACTTATAAAAGTAGTTTTGACTACGAGGAAAATGAAAACTTTTAAATTACAAAACATGTATAATATTTATTGACGTATAATTATTTATTTAATATTTAAATAATAGTTTCAAAAGGGTAAGGTGTTTGTGACAGAAAAAAAACTCCAAAATATGCGCGAAAACAATTTAACATAATCATTATATCCGCCAAACTGTATAAGACATGCTTTGAAAATATTATAACGTACGATTTTTGAGAATATTTTTAAGATTTTCAAATTATACAGTAAACAATTTAATAAATGTTAATCAAACTTGCTGTTCGACGAACGCGTCAAAAATGTAAATGGTTATCGAGATTATGTTAATCTGGATTGTCAATAGTTCCAAACGCACTGATAATATTATCCATTATTAGATATACTCACGATCACTTTATTCAGCCTTTCTTCTTCAAACTCCAGTCTTTGCTTTTCGATTCCTTCGATTTTACGTCTCATGTTTAACGCTCTTTGTTGCCGCGCCCTGGCGTCCAACTCGTCTTCGTACAGCACTTCACGCATTGCTTGCCGAAATACGTCGGATATCAGCGTCTCGGCTATTGGCGTCACCTCAACATCGAAGTCGAACAACTACACAGAACAATATTATTCCGGTTGTACAATCATAAATATTTGACCATGATGGAGCACATAATATTTCGACAGTGCAGTTTTGTCGACGGATTCGAGTTTTGTATATTTCGACGGTGGCATCGGTACGAATTTGCATTTGTTTTAACATAAATAGAGCACTAATTGTAAACCAATCACACCTTGAATCGACTGACTTACATCTTTGTCATCCACTTGGGTAGATGCGTCCGTGTTATCGGACGTTCCGGTTCCCGGATTTGAGTAGAAATCTTGATCGAATTCAGTCTGGGCTCCGAACGTCTGGTAATGTGGATACTCGTACATCTGGAAATCATTTGAAAATAATTACGGCGCTGTTTGCCAACGGAAAATATAGGTTTTTCAATTATACTCTATAAATATAAATATATCAGTTTACACTACGCAGTCCAACTTGTTAAAATAATGCAATCATCGCATTTATGTATATATTTTTGGTCGATGTAATTTTGATCAAAATATTTTTGAGGTGCAATATAAGCAATGAATCGTTTGATTATAATTTTTGGAAAGTAAAAAGTTTCATAATTTTTTTTTTCTGAACCACTTAATATTATGATGTATAAAAATTTGGAATTTTTTCTACGGATACTTCTGAAGTCGCTTACCTGTTCTAGTCGTACGTCAGTTTGAATATCCACGTCTTGACGACCTCTGGAAAGTTTCGGTGCTCCGAGGTGCAATCGTAATGCTCTTGATTGATAGTCCATTGCTCTTTTCCTAGCTATAGTGCGTCGATGACATTCCGCTTCGCGGTCTACGAGTAGTGATTCTTTACCGAACTGTGAAACACCAACCGTTAAACATTTTAGCACAGCTGATTATTATTGTTTTCAAGCATTAAAACGTGAACTAATTTCAATCCTGCAGCGTATCAAAAGCCAAAATTTATGTGAAAAAATACTATAATGAAATGAAAAAAATAACTGTGGTGCATGCGCGAAAACAAGGCGCTCACCTCGGACGACAACTGTTTAGCATACCCAAAATACGGGTTCCATTTTGGACGCTAAATAGTTTCAAATTAATATTAAGTTTAAATAATTTTCAACGTAAAAGTGCTAACGGTCTGTAAACGAAACTTACGTATATATTTTTTGTATAATTACTGCCTCTGACCACTCTTTTGTCGTGCATAATGTTCGTGTAACCCGTTTGTTTGCACATACTGCGAATAGAAAAATAAGTCCCATATTATTTTGACCTAAATTCAAGTTCTTTCAAGAATTGATTAAGTAAACGACATATCAGATTGTCGAGAGGACGACCAAATGTTTTATGTTCGGTAAAAAAATAGCATGAATATTTAACGACTGGTTCGCGTGCTAAGCTAATAAACCCAAGTCAAATCGGGTGTTTTTTTTTTAACTAGAAAAAGTATTTATTTTTCTTTTTCTTATTTTTTTTATTGAAATGGACGGCTTGAAACAAATGTAATAAAACTTGCGAAATATTCACAACAAAAGAGATTAAATTATGTTATATTACACGAATGAATTTTCCATGAAACAGGTATTTTAATTTGTAGTATACATGTATAGAACAGTATACAAGTTATTTATGTTTGATTATAAATTTATAAGACAGTTCAATATGCACTTTCTCAATTTATTTAAGAAATTAAAAGCGTATTATATATAAGATATCTACAAAATTATTGTTATTTCCAACATTCGGATTGTGTATTTCAGGTGCAAAAATATTTTATACCTGTTGAAATATATTTATGAAAATCATAATTTTATACATTATACTTTATGTGCAGCAAATTTTATTTTCATTAATATTCAAAATTTATTTTATACACTATCTTACTATCACGGTAAAAGATTTATTTCAATTTCTCTGTAGAAAACTGATTTAATTTGCTTTAAATATCTTCTTTAGTAGGAATTAATAAAAAAATAAATCTCAAAATTAGATTTTGAAACTATTATATATTTAGTTATACAAGTAAATTTAAGTTGGCCTTAAGATATTATACGAGTAATAAAGTAATAAAGTTTTTTTTTTTATTCAAATTCACGTTAAGATAGGAATCTTAAATTGTTATCCATTACGGACAAATGTAGATTTTATTATAATTTCCCCAAAAAGTTCTGTAACGAACAATATTTATTTAATGGTCAAAGGTCATGGTCACTCTAGTCATTAGAGTTGTATACATTATATACTATGTAAATATCGTACATATCGTACATGTAAACATTATCTAATCCTAGTTATATACGTACCTACATTATTATTGTAGGTATATAACATGGTACCTATTTTATAATTTCGTATAAAATAATACACTACTTATTTATAAATATTTATGTGTATCATTATAAATCATTTTTTCAGGAGTTAATGTTTTCATTGACTGATAATTTTAGAAAATAGTTTTTTTCAACTGGTAAGAAAATATTACTGTTGTTAAGTGACTGTTAAAAACGGAATATTCAACGGAGATCACTAGTGAATGAACTCACGAAAATCAATGAAATCGATATTTTTATGTTAGTATATATTTAACCTATATCGAAACGATATTGGTAGCAGTGTAACATGTATGTAAATTGTATTTACAGTTTTACAGTATTTACTGATAAGGATCATGTACAATGAAATGTTAAAAAAATTGATTTGAATTAAGTAGCAATATGTCAAGGAATTTAGTCTTAAAATTTAAAGATTTTTCTAAGCTAATTATGAATATTTTAAAAGTTTACACAAGTTAAGGCTAACATAAAAATCCTTCAATTGGTTTTTTATTGATTATTATTGTTCTATATTTAATACTCAAACGTCATTGACTGTGTACATTATGTAACGAATGCTATTGAATTCCGTTCAGTTATTGGTCAATCGATTTACACACACACAAACACACATATAGGTGCACAGATGCTCGTGCTGGACAGTATATTCAATACAATGACATGAAATAAGCGAATTTCTCAAGTTCATACCTATTTTGCATATTTTGCACATGTTATTCTCATGGGTACATTTAAACAGAAAACTATGGAATCAAAAATAAAATGTCTGGTTGTCTGTGAAACAAAATCAGTATGCCTACATATTATTATATTGTTGAACAATTAGGTTAGTAGAAAACGTATTATGGATATTGCGATTTCATCACCCGGTGGGGTTATCGTCGAAATTATGAAGTTGAGTTCGTTTGTCTACAGAATGTATTCAAGTACTCATTATTGCAGCGTCATATGTAGGTATACCTAACACGTGTATCATCCAAGTGCTGGCCGAAGCCATTTGCGAACGGTATTTTATTTTTTATAAATATATATATAACTCACGGATGCGAAAATCGGGATGAATCAAGTGTGATGCTGCACTCATCGATGCATTTTTATAATTGTAATCAATAACCCTTAGGTTAGCTAGAATTCGAGCTGCACGAGGTCCGAACGAACGGTTTCAAAAAGTCATGTGTTTTCTAAGAGCGGTCACAGTTCGTGGTTGTACAACGTAATAATGAGTACCCAGTCGACTGGAATATCATAATCTGAAAACGTAACGGATATGGTTGGTTGAAAATAACATCAATTGTCCAATAGGATTATTTTACGAGCAGCAACATTAGTAATGAAAAAGTATAATATATATGTATTTGATAAGCAGATTAACGTGGCAAGCACGAATCGCGGACTACGTCGAACGGGGATGTCCGATACGAATCATAGCCGGTGTTGGGCAGAGTTGAATAAAAAATTATTCTTCGTTCGTTGATTTTTAATTTGATTATTCTAGTTTGTTTTTATGCGTAATTTTAATATTATTCGGTTATTCATTGTTCCACATAATCGTGTTTATCTCAAACAATTCGTACATCAACTGAAATTCCAAATTCGTTGAGAATTGAAAACGGAGTGCATCGAATTCATAAAATATTGTCAAAAATGTCATCTACGATAACGTTATAGCTGAGCGAGGGGCCAATCTCACCGGTTTAGCACTCGTTATCCACACGTCATTCACTCTTAGTATTTAGTTTTTCTTCATCATCATATTTTCCTTTGAACATTATTCGTAATTTATTCAATCCGTTTTGTTCGGAACAGTAAATTTATCCATAGTCAAACGGTTTAGAAAATTTTATTATGATTTTTCGGTCACAACTAAACTCTATTCGCGAAACACGATCAGTTGATCGAGCTATTGTTTTCGATCAAATAGTTTCGGTTCGTTTTCGGCGGACCCCCGGGGGGCGGGTGCCGCGGTGCACGTAGTATACTCACTCCGGTCGGCGGTCGGCGGTCCTACGCTGGCGCTGGTGCTGCTGGTCGTAGAGCGCACGCGGCTTGCTCGAGTACGAGTAGTACCGGTCGGAGTCGGCCGCGCGGTCGTGGTCGTGGTCGAGGCCCAGCAGTGCGGCCAGGTCGGGCGGCGGGTCCAGGAAGATGCCGGTTTTCACGGTGGTCACGAACACCGGTTTCCTGGACGCGGCCGCGCGCTTGGCGGCGCCGTCACCGCCTTCGCGCCGCTGCAGTTTCTTCAGCTTCGCGTCCAGGTTCCGGGCGAACCGGCGACGGTCACCGTCATCGCCGCCGCCGTCGCCGATGATCACGAACGACGACGACGACGTGTTGTCGCTACCGGCGGCGGCCGCTGTGGTCCCGTCATCGCGCATCGCCCGCGGGGATCAGACGCCGGGAAAAACGCGTGCGGAACGGGACGGTTCGTGCGGCCGCGCGAGTGAACGGCGCGGGCGGCGAGACGCGACGGCCATCGGGTCGGACGGCACCGGCTCGACTGGTCGGCCGACGAACGACGGCCGCGAAGCTCGTGGCCGCGCGCGGGGGTTGCGCGTCTCGGGGGTGTAGCGTGACGCCAGCAGGGACGCACGCACGCGCCGCGGCCCGTTGACCGGTGACCGGTGGCGGTCACGCGGGTCAGTGGCTCGCCGCCGCCTCGACCAGCGTACGCCGACGGTGGTGTGCGCGAAAAAAAAAATCGAAAGGGAAAAAAAAAAAAATTAGGTGACGACCGCCGCCGGCGCAGGGCGAGCGGCGAAACTTGCCGAAGTCGGTCACGGGTGCGCTCGTACCGTCCCGGTCCGGCGGGAGGACGCGAGTAAGATTTTGCTTCCGGCGATCAGCTATTTTACCCCCTGACATTGTCGTTAGTCGTTCGTTATTCCGTCGTCCATTCGTGCGCGACGCAAGTAGAACACTCCTTCCCACGCTTTTGAACAAATCAAAACAATCGAACATTACCTCAGCAATTACCGTGTGTACCAAAACAATACGTTGCGTGTATTGATGGTGTTTGTCTTTTTTTTTTTCTTGTTTACATTTTGCTGTAGGCTTGTTCCTAAAAGTTTTATACACACCGTTGTCGGTCGTGTTTAATAAAAATGAACATCTGTCGTCGCTTTTCAAGTGTTCGATAAAACGTGTTATCTCGTAAACGGTCAGCTGACGAGTATCCATAAAAAAAAAAAAAAAAAAAGGCTAGATTTTCATTTCACGACCTGTGCGGCTATATATGATGTACATAAACATCGGGAAAATAAGACTCCATAAACATTTTAAAAAAAATTGAGTGATAAATTCTCGGTTTATCTTCTTCGCACTACCTTAACGTATCATGTGGCATGGTGTTCGAGGAGACCTTTGCCCGTACCTTGTATATAATATTAAAGATTTTTGAAAGGAAAACTGGTTAAAATTTCGTGAATCCGTCGAAAACGGAACACACAAGAACAAAACAATTAGTTAAAGATGAATTAAATGGAACTTAAAAAAAAACAATTTGAGTTACTATGAGGCAAAAAAATCGATCGATCGAAAAACCTCATCGGAAATATAAGGGAAACCGAAAAATATGTATTAAGTAAAAAAAAAAAAGAAAATTACATTTACGCTTTTCAAATAATGCGATGAACGCCTTCGGGTACCCACCGATCGTCCAACACGGTGTACCGCTGAAGTAACCTTCCTAGTTAGTAACCTAACCTAACCGTCCCAGACGAGTTGCTGGTTTGTGGACTAGTATGACCCGCCTGCAGAACGTTGTGACAACCCGGAGTTCAGTATACTACTATCGCATGACGAGTATAAAACAATAATAATAATACTACAGTAATAATACAGAATGAAACGGACGGACGGTCCGTTACACACCGGTCACCGTTGTAAATTACAAATTAAGGAAAACTCTGTGTAATCATAATAATAAAAATACTCCAACCGGTGCTTAGGGCTCTGTGCTTAAAAAAAAATAAATAATTTATAAATAATATAGACATGGTTCAAAACCTTACCAGCCCCGGAGGGCTAACGAAGTTGCAGCCCGGTTTGGTCGAAATTACACGATTGCGCTCACGCGAACAAAATAATACAAAAAAAAAATTAAAATGCGGATGCTCCGCACAACCAATATCGAAAACGGAGTGCCGTACGAAGTTTCGGTACGACGCAAGAGAATCGCCGGTATTAAAAAAGACCCTCAAATCGAATATTCATAAACCGGTGACATGATGGGCAGTGCAATACGGCGTGCAGGAGAAAGAAGGGTGCACACGAACACCGTCCGTCGACCAAGTTCACGATGTAGCGACACAGATGAACTACTCGCAACAAAGATAACCGGAAATGTACGTTCCAATACGTTGTCGGCTCTTGATTAAGACATCCCCGTGCGATATAATTAGAAATACTATTAAATATCGAACTCTTTTGTCACGTTACAAATATTCACCATATATTATATTGAAATCACGAGAAAAGATCTACTCATGCCTTTTTGGTGACGGGAAATAATTGTACGTAATGTTTACATTTAGGTGAGGAGTTACTGGCTTACAACTATTTGACCAAACGGACGTGATAAACCGAAAATTCGTTATGAAAATACAGTCGTACTCGGATACTCGGTCTAAAAACGTATCAACACCAATAATACTAGATGGTAAAAGACGAAGGGAAGTCGTCGCTAATATTCTTCCAACACGTATAATCTTAAATAGCTACACACGAAGTACACCGGTTCGTGTCCGTTCGGGACCGTTATAATTTCGATGAGCGTTTCCACCCTTCAGCCCCAGCGAAAGGTTTTGCGGGGCCCGGGGCAGATTTTTTTCACTAGAATTATTCCTTCGTGAAGACGAAACATTTTTTTTTTTTTTTGACGTCTAGCATTCGTAATTTTCTGTTTTACATAACTTACGTAAAAACATTTTAGTATGGTTATTATTAGGGATGGGTTCTCCCACACTTCGAATCCTTGAACATCTCGAACTTGAAGGAATTCGAACAGTTCGGAGTTCGAGAAAAATGCAAGTTCGAATTCGAACATAATACATAAAGTTAGTTTAATAAAAAAATATAAATTAATAACTAACAAGTTATATAGTAATTAGAAATAAATTTTAAATAATAACATTACTTAATAATTTTACTTTTATTATAATATTAAACTTTATAGTTTTTCATACCTAGTTAGTTAAAAATCAAATTTTTGAGTTTAAACTTTTAAATGTTTTAATTTTTCAAAGTTCGAAAGATTGAAAGTTCGAAAATAGTTCGAAGTACCAACAAGTTCGAGTTCGAGAAAAAAATTATGTTCGAGTTCGGGTTGGAGTTTGTGAAAACTTCAGCTCGACCCATCCCTAGTTATTATATTTCATCGTCGAAGCGTCAACAATATACGTATTATATTGTATATATTGTTTATTAATTTATCATTATAATACTGCTAAACATAAGAAAGTAGGCTTGCGAGCTATTAATTCCCGTGAAAGGCGCAGATCCTCTAAAATGGCCCTTGGCAGCAGCTGCCCCTTCTGCCCTGCCTTTCATCCATATTATTTTATTTTTATTTCGGAAACGCAGCCCTCTGCCCCGCGGCCTCGGGACGAATCGATCAGCACACCCTGTGTACCATCGAGGTCGTGTTCTCGCGGTGGCAGCACGCACTGCGCCGCGTTTTACATTAATTATAATATATATATATATATATGGTGTACAAGCGATGACCTCGGCGGCCTGTTATTGCGTCGTTCGCGTTGGTGACTGAATATGCGGATTTTAATGAATCGCCGTCGAGCACGGCATCAGCGTTTCCGACTTCGTGGGCGCGGCGGTGTGGTCAGAGGTGCGTGTGCGCCCCTGCCGTTCCTCCATTAAATAATTGATCGTTTAAACGCCCCCAGCCCCCACATACACACACACACACACACACACACACACACACACACACACACACACGACCACGATGTGGTCACGTCGTCTTCGGAACTCTCCGATCGTCGATCCTTATAGCTTGGCATGTTAGCCTGAACCGCGGACGCGGCATTAAAATATTTAATTTTTCCCAACAACGCACTGAAGTTTCAAACAAAAGTGTACGCAGTCTCCGCGGGACACGTACTCGGTACGTTGATTTGAACAAGTTCCGCGCAATCCTCAACGGCCTACTTCGGTCCCGGCCAGTGCATTTTGCACTCGCTGCACTCGCGGTGTTTCTGCATTGCATTGCCGTATTATAATATCGTTAGCGAACTTACCCGAGTCGCTAACGGCGAATAACCTCAACCGAAAAACGTTGACCCGCCGTCAAACACTTATCGTTCCCGAGGTCGCGCCGAGCTAAGTTAAGGTCCGTCGTTTCCGGCGCTGCCGTGTTGCATAATTAATGCGGACCGCGTTCATTTCGGAGTTCTATTAACGACTGTAGACTGGCATACATTACAATATATAATGTTGTCGTTATACATTTCGATAAAATAACGTGATATCGTTTCGTATATTTTTATCAATTTTTTTTTATCGACAATCATTTTATTGGTTTGTTTACACCGACCGAATAATGCGTCGTCGAATCGGTATTTAACTTCGATCATAATATACAAGCCTGGGCATTAACAAGTTAATATGTTAAAAGTTAAGTTAATATAACTTATTAACTTAACTTATTACATTACTGACGAATTATCTTGAAATTAACGTATTATTTTTTCATTTATCCCCAATTAAGTTAATTTTGATTTTCAAGACCAGAAAAATATTTTTGTAAAATACCGCATTCGATAACAAGTTCATGGAATTCGGAAAAATATAAAAATAAAAATGTCGAAGAATTTTTAGATGAGACTATATTATTTATCTCGGTATTAATTATTAATTGGGGTCCACCGGTCTCGGGAAAAGTACTCAACCGTCTTCAGACCATTGAGTAAAAATTGTCATGCCATCCATGAACTACATTACCATTATCATGAAAATTGGCCGTAAATCTATATTACAAAAATAGGGACATATTATCATTGACTAAATAATTCTTAATAATTATTGTACTCTATTATTATTAGGATTATTCCATAATCTATGATATTATTAAATAAGCTATTAAAAAGTATTATTGAATAAGTGAAGTAATTTAATATCTAGATGATCAACATTTTGAGATAACTCTTTTATTGAAATTCAATAGGTAATTTGATTAACCTGTCCATTGTATTGTTTTATATATTTAATGTTTTGAATCAACTGTATACATTTATTACCTGTATAATCTTATAGTTACACTTTCAGCTACAGTAATTATTTTTAGTTTTCATACTGATATTGAACATTAAAAAGAATGATTTTTTAAATTATATTTATCATATGTGATTTGTATGAAAAACGAATAAAAATAAACGATACATAAATTACCATAAATTTGACATTTGAGTGCTTAAAAACAATCCCAATAAAGAGATGTATATTTTCTACTCTAATTAGAGTCCAATAC